TTTGTATATCACAAATTTCATTGTCAAGGGTTCTCAAGAAAAGAATGAAGATCGAACAATAAACCACTTTGTCAAATAAGGTTTGATAGCATCTCAATAAATTGTTCAACCTAAAAGTTTAAACTGTTAAATGAGATCTCTGAATGGATATTTATTCTCTAGCAATAGTGATACTCACTCCACAGTTCAACTTTTTCTATTGATAGCAGATTTTAATCCACCCTAGAGATTATGTAGTGTTTACAGATATTGCAGAAGTCTCGTGAAAACCACCTTCTAATGGCTTGATTATACCTAGAACTGCTAGTATGTACAAGCAATGTTTTTGAACCACTGTTGACCTGGATGGTCGGACCGTTCAGCCTGGAAAATGTCCAGACAACCAGTTTCATTTTATCCTAAACCTGGTCCCTGACCAAAAACCATTAAATTGATTAATAACCCGTTGATCTAGGTAGTCAAATCATTGATCTGTTCAATAGTTTTTTACCATTTTTTATTTTAATTATTTATAACTTTTTTGTCAAAATGGACCATCCATTTGAACTGAATAGCTGAATCGTCGATCCAAAAACCAATGGCCAGAATGATTCCAATTCCAAGTTTTAAAGCATTGTGTGCAAGATAACCAGTTTTGGTTTCTCTCTCTCGATAGACCAAATACTTCGTCTTCTGCAACTGATATTTTAGTTCCTACTATATATCGTATACCGAATTAGTCAATGAAATACTTTTTGCCTTCAAATTTCAAAATATTTGTTAGATTATAAAAAGCTAAAAGAGAGATGAATATAAATTTGATCATTTTGATGGGAGGTGGAAGTGAACCTGCATTTTTGGATTTGGAATTTGTATTCCGCGACGAACGACCCAATAGAGATCCGAGTTCATCTGCCAAAGAGAAACGTGATAGACTGAAGCTTCACCGTTGCCATAAATAAAGACAAGACAAGACACCAATAGAGATTAGTAGCAAATTAAATAAAGACAAGGCAAGACAAGACACCAGGACCAGAGTTCGCATCCAATCCTCTTTCCTATGTTCATTTGGCTGATTATGTCCGTACGATCTCTAAATGGGATCGGGTAAGGATGTCAATGGATCGGGCTAAGCGGGCTAAGTTCTAAACCCACACCGGTCCTACCGGGTTACAATCATGTCAGCCTTAACCAGATGTTGGGTCGGATTTGGGTTGAGATGGCCCATGCCGAACCGACCTACACCTACTGTCATTAGGGCTACAAATTGGGCTGGGTGAGGTCAGGTTGAGGCCAATCCTAGCCCAATCCTAAGTTCTAAACCTTAACCTTAACCCAATTTGACCTTCAACTCGACCAACCCAATCCTAACCCTAACCCTAATCCTAACTAAATTCCTTCAACCCTAACCCAACCCGAAGTCAATTTCGGGTTGGGCCCAACCCAACCTTCTCCCATCCCTTAAAACCTCATAAAATTTTTTGATTTTAGATCTTAACTTTCACTACATATATTAATTCTATGTTTCATTATTATTTGTTTGTTGATGTTTTTTTCTTTTTTGTTCTTTTGATACAAAATTCAAAAAAAAAAGTGTTAAAAATAAATATATTTTATTATGAGTTATGGCTTACGATAGATCTTTCTTGGGCGACAAACAACATAAAGGAGACGAAGAATAAAATTTTCAAAAAGCACAAAATAATGTTATTAAAGTTTTAGTCTTTCTCATTAGGATTAAGTGAAGTGATCATCTTAAAAGAAATACATGATAGTATGTGGCGGGGGTTATACAAATATCATGAATCTAAACAAATCAATGTATATTATATATTGCAAATAACATATATTTATATATGATATACTATAGAGTCAAGTTCAGATTGATTCGAATTGGCTAAAGAATCAACTCTAACCCAACCCAAAATAAAATCGAATTCATGAATTTCAATCATAACCTTAACCTGACCCAAACCAATCCAACCTTTACTGGTTGGGTTAAGGTTGGGTTCGGGCCTTGCAGCCTTAACTCTCATTGCCACATTGAAATACTCGCGAAAATAAGTTTGATCGAGTATATGTGTAAGTTGGGTTTGGGTCAGATTTGCTATATCCTCTGCATTTAATAGGTATTTGGTACCGTGGCTGTTTTTAACGAGGTGTTGTCTTGCTTTTGGATGGCACGTCTTCCAATTGCACGGACGGTGTCGACGTCGTTCCAGTTAAGACTGAGTTATGTGGCCACGTAGGAGCCACAATACCTCCTCACTGGAGGAAATGTCGGAAATATCACCTCGTTGTTGCAAAAAATACCGGCATCTTGCTCAAAATATCCTTTGGGTGTTTGAGTGGTTGTGAATTATGCCGATTCTAAGGTGTTTTTGTTTCTGCTCGTTTATCACTTAAAACTAACTAAATACGTTTTTTTACCAATAAAGCATAATCTCTTGGATCTCCTGCCCACGTTTATCACACATGGAGAACGGGTACCTAGATCAGATGAAACCAAATATTGGGTATCAGAGTCGAGACGAGTCAGATATCAAATAATTCTTGCAAATTTTCCATCCCTACAATGAAATAGGTTCAAAAGGCTGCCAAATGGACTGGAACAAGGGATCAATTGCATTGGGACCAAGCTGACTAGGGGTTTATGTTTTCTCTTTGTTTGAAGGTTAGCTAAGGCTAGCCTCCCTACTTCGACTCTCCTGCTTTGAATCTTTGATGTACACTCCTTTTCCTTCTGATCTGATTAATAATTCAGTGGTATCTCATGAGAACAAAAAAATAGAGATTGAATTGCTACAAGATTAAATGGAGATAACTAATGGACATTTCAATGAGAATCAAATTCGTAATTTGATTTTTTTATATTTAAAAAAATTCAAAATATACAAAAATTTAGAGGGTCCTACTCAGAAGAGTGGAGGGGCTGCTGAATATCATCTATCTATGGGCTAATAAAACTAATCCACAAAACAAAACAAAAAAAAAAAAAATTGTCTCACAACAATAGGAAGATGGGGACCATGAAAACAGAAGTCCCGACTCCCCCCGGAGACTTTGGCCCACTGAAATAGAACGTGAGCAGGAATTGACGAAGACAACGCTGGAAACATTAGCACCCTATTGGACAAGTTCATACAAGTCGACAATCTCTTTAATTAATAATGTATATTTATATTTGTTGCTACTGTTGTCAATTGCCATCAAGCAATCATGTTCATACAGCTCCGAGAAAAAGAAAAACGAGAGAGAGAAAGAGAGAGAGAGAGGATCCTGAGTTATCCTGTCAGTTCATTTTTCTATCTGCTCCATAGTTTGGTCAAACCGGGGAAATGAAATAAAGCCTCGAGAAATCATGGGCCTTGGATAGACAGGGTTTTGATTTCATCCAGCTCCAAACTCCCCTGTAACAACATTTTTTTCATACAACTTCAGAACTAGCAGTGGTCAGTGGTCACCAAAAGGAGTTAAAAATTAGCGTCTTAGCAGATACAATGAAATACTGCATTGCTGCCAAGCCATACCTTCATCAGCGTTTCCTTTCCATTCGCCATTTATATACAGGTCTCGAGGTTGGATTGACAATTTCATCATCATGGAGTTTGCGTTTCCGACCCTTTTTCTGTTTGAAAAATATGACGAACTAGAAAATATAAACTAATGATTCCCAACTCTTAGAAATGACAACAGAAATCAAATGACAACTTTACCTGCAATTCTTTCTGCAAGGTCATGTCCATGTATAGTTTCTCCAAATCGTTTACTCTCTTCTTCCTATCCTCAAGTCTCTTGTAAGCAGCAGCTGTTCTCCTGCATATGGAAGACTACGACTTGTCATATTAACAAAAACCTCGGCTTGAGTGGCAATTTGGTCATTTTTTATAGTTGGGAATTTTCCCTTTATATTAAAAAGTATAACCTTGATGAGAAATATATGTTAGACAAATAACCAATACAAAAACAAGGTGGAATTTAGGGATTATGTCATGAAATGAATGGTTTAATTTCCAACATAATCTCCACTCGGCAGAAGTAGGAGTCCTGAATAGCATCAGCTATATTAGGTTCAGAGCAACCATCCAGTTTCAAAATAGGCTACATTAGAGAATCTGCAGGTTTTGATCCAAGATTATCATTGTAGTAAATCAAGTACATATTTGTGTTGGATAAAATAAAAAGAAGGAAGTCAAAGGAAGGGAAAGGTTTGTATAGGTTTCCCAACCTTTCCCTACCTTTTGTTTCAAACCAAATATAGCCTGAGGGACTCAAGTCCTTGAGCTCAAATTCTTTTGCCAAAAAGACCTTTTAGCTGCTCTATGTCTTAGCACAATCACCTATAACCACTAGATAATCAATGTAAATGATGTATAGTGGTCAAACTTATTATCCTTCTGACAACAATTTAATCAGCCTGATTACAAAACCCAAATTCTGCACAGCAAAACTGAACTTCTCAAACTAAGCCCCAGGAGATTATTTGAGTCCATAAATAGCATATTTTAAGCTTTCACACCTGCCCCTCCTATCCTAATAGCCTGATCCCTAGTGCATTGTCATGTACACTTTTCCTTAAGCTCTCTATGTAGGAAATTATTCTTTACAATGATGTGATATAGGGACCAAGATTAGTTGGCAATAAGGAGAAACCGCTCAAATTGGATTTATCTTCACCAGTGGTGCAAACATCTCCTAGTAGTCACTTTCGTGAGTTTGTGTAAAACCTTTAACTAGTCTTGCCTTATATCAAATCTACCATCAACTTTATTTTTGATAATGAAAACCTACCTGCATCCCATAGACTTCTGTTATAGGGAGATCAATGAACCTCTGCTCCTCACTTCCCACTTAAAGCAAGGCAATAAAATCAATAAAAGATTTAAATAAAAATAATAAGGAAAAACTTGGGTATTGTAGCATATGATACTAGCTCCGTAATAACTTGCCATGTTTTGTATCATGAATGTTAAGAGTAAGGTCCTACCATAGAGCTACCTGCTACCCCCAACTAATATATTAGTTCAGTCAAAATTACTTTCAATAGATTGTTATACTAATGCCATTTAATCTACTAATAAAGAATGCCAAGTATTTCTGTCAACATCAGCTCATTAAGGACTGATCAAAAAAATACATTAGCTGGTTAATGTTCACTTGTCATGGTGAATTTTGGTATAGGAAACCTGCTAGATGGTATATATATATATATATATCCAATACGACTAACTAAAGCTGTAAGGAAGCAATGGACTGGTTTTCCCTTTTCATTGAAGGGGCTTTACAGTCAAAGATTTACAAGTTAGAGGCAGACAAAAGTAAAAAGAAGTTATAGTGCAGAAAGAAAGGAAAATGTAAAAAGGGAGATACATTATACTGTATGAGTTCTTCGGCCATGAAAAAAAAACCCAGGAAACATGCATTCCAGAGAGTAGAAAAGGTGAGGGATGGAGGAGGTTCTTGGGGTTCTGAATGAGGTATTGAAGCTTTAAGAAGGAAAAGAGAAAAGTGACGTCTCTGATGAAGTGAAGAAAAACAATAAAGTGGCAAACAAAGCTGCTGTAGAAGATGCTGGTTCTTCTGAAGAATTGCTAGGGACAAGGAAAACAATTGGTTCTATTAAAATGGTGACAAGTTTTGAGAAAGAAATTTGGCAACATAAGCTACTGAGCAACCACAGGACTGGAAGAAAGTAGATGATAAAGGGATTGACGATTCAAGGGGCGATAATAATTACCCCTTTTAGTAAGCGGCTTTGGTTGATATGGTGGACGTTGTAGAAGTGAATGCAGTAAAATTCCCTTCCGATCAAGGAAACTTTATGACGTCGAAATGGGGTCCACTTTCAAATGAGTAGATATATGAAGTAGAGGATGAACTTCTCGTTTGTATCATTGGTCTTTTGTTCCATCTGTCGAAAGAAGTCCTCAAATCAGTTGCTTCAGTTTGTGGTGCATTGGTTTGACTGGACCTGGTCCATCTGTAATGGGTTGGACTGGACCTGGTCCATTGATAGATTGAACAGTTTGTGGTGCATTGATTTGACTGGACCTGGTCCATCTGTAATGGGTTGGACTGGACCTGGTCCATTGATAGATTGGACAGTTTGTGGTGCATTGGTTCGTATCATTGGTCTTTTGGAGTATTGAACCAGTCCAGAACTAATGGTCCAAATTATTTATTGGGTTGACTGGACCTGGTCCATCTGTAATGGATTTAGAATGAGTCATTTGAACCAATATCCAGCCCATTGATAGACGATAAGAATACAGGTGTCAATGGACCGGGGTTGAATTGGAACAAATCTAAATTAAAACCATTTTGAATAGATTGGACAGTCCAGTCATTGAATTGGACCAGTCCAAAATGGTCCAAAGTGTTCACCGGATTGGATCGGTACAAATCTAAATTAAAACCAATTTGAATAGATTGGACAGTCCAGTCATTGAATTGGACCAGTCCAAAATGGTCCAAAGTGTTCACTGGATTGGATTGGACCCGGTCCTTTTGTAATGGACTCATATTGGACCAAATCTGGTCCAATTGACACCCTAATACACTCGGCAGCCATTAGCTTGAGTGGAGAAAAACCAGAAAGGTCCCAAGGAAGATACAAGTGCTTGCTGACCAGATGAGCTTCTCTGTGTGGTTGGCACGGCCATTGAAGCTACCTTGTTGAAAGATGCTCACAAAGAGGAAGACAAAGGGATTGAACAAGAAACTCTACATGGCAGGAAACAAGTGGATAGTTCAAATTTGATTTGCACTTACATGAATTTGGAAAGACAAAATTTGGGTAAAGGAAAAGATAACCAAACAGGGGAGTTTTCTTCAGGGTCAAGAAAACCAGGGGAGTTGGCAAGTGCCTAGTCACTTGCTCAGATGTTGACCAGTGGTATTTCGACTTCTAGCAATGCACAAAGTGCCAAAATGTTAAGTGGGAGGAAGGGCTGAAGAGGTGACATTTTAAATTGTCACGTGAGGGAGAAGGAAATGAGTTTGGTATGTTTAACTCAATGAATTTTAAGGATGGGCATTTGGAACACATTAGAGGGGAGCAGTGTTGTGTGACGATGGATGATAACTTGTGTACCTATCATCATCTATCTCAAAGCAATTAACAGAAACTTGTGCATCTTGGTGGAGTTTCACAATTAGAAGAGTTTTTCAAGAAGAATTTGTATTCAAAGATGCCAAGAGGAAGGGTGTAACCCACCGATATTGACTCACTAACCCATTTGCCACCCATGTTAGAGGGTCAGAGTGGGTCACAACCCTCTTTGACCCTGACCCACCCTAAACCACCCATTTGACCCTCTAATTTAAATGCATAAAAACATAAAACAATATACTAAATATCAATAAAAAAGAGGAAGGGTGTAACTTTCAAAAAGTTTACTTCAGGGAAGATCAAAGGAGCAGGTAAGAGGAGTCTTAAAAAATGGGAGTGGGTATTAATGAGTTCCACTCATGAAGATGGATTGATCGTAGTGAATGGTATGACATCCTGAACAAGATTTCTGTTAATGAAAACCAGGCGCAGGTTAGGACTGTTACAGGAGTAGAAACATTGGATACAAAGGCAACATGTTGGAAATGCAGTTGTTCCCTTAAGGGCAACATTGTTTGAAATGCAGTTGAATCCAGGGAGCTGCATGGTAGAATTGTGAAGGCAAGATGGTGGGTGTGAAAGGAGTGAGAAAGAAGGAGATTGATTCAGAAGCTATCAATTCCCAGAAGAATATTGAGGGGCAATCCGGCAGATATTCGAAATCATTAGCAGGGAAAGATTGGAGGAATGAACATTATGAGGAAATAGAGGGGAGTGAAATGTCTAAGTATTCAAAATGAACTGATGATGTCTAGGATAAGGCGGACAATGTGTAGTTTTCTGAAGTATTCATAGGAAATTTGGGAAGGATTTAGGAAGAAAAAAACGTAAAATTCCGTCTGAAGAATTTAACAGAAGTGATGCTTCTTTAGTGAACTTGAAAAGGCTGGAAGGATTTAATGGTGATCAATTGGTTCATGTTACACAAGGTTTTTCACCACTTGAAGGGTTTATTGCAGTCTGTCCTTGTAGTAAATAGAAAAGGTACTACAAAAGGGAGGCAATAAAGGAGAAAACAAAAACTAAGAACAGCCAAAGAATCAGTTGCATTGTGGATCATCTAGAAAAAGGGATTGAGATGGAAAGACAAGGAACTGATTCAGCTATCCAAAAAGAAAACAACTATATCAAATATAGAAGAGAGTCAGAGAGCTAAGGTTGAACCAGAAGAAGAGAAAGAGGAAAAGGAGGATAATGAGGATATAGAGACCGATCAAATGATGAGTTAGGAAAGCGGAAGGGAGTATGGACCTAGACAATGCGGAAATTAAAGTCCATGTGTTGGGATTATATGTTATTGGAGAAGAGGGATTTCCAGGAAAGATCCAGGAATTGGAGAAGTATGTATTGAGCGAGGAAAGTTGGAAAGGGAAAGCTATCTGGGAAGGTTATTGGGGCTAGATATCTTGTCACCTTGTTGTGTACTCAGTTCTTTTTTCTCTTTTCTCTTTTCACTTTAACATTTTTTTTCTTTTTACTACCAAAAAAATGCTGTCTTGTTGCATTGCATTAACTTTTCTCCAAGGAGGTCAAATATTTTATGCAGTGAGTAATTTGTGGAAAATCCTGTCTGTAGTTGAGTTGCTGGAAAACAGAGAAATAATTGTTTTATAGGTGTATCAAAAGCTCCTAAATTATTTCCCTAGTTGACTTTTAACATGGCTGCATGCATATATGTGAACATATATAAGAAGAATGCATCTGGAAAAGTGCATGCCATCACTTGGATGTTTAGAATCATCAAAATGGTGATCTTTCTCTGTCAAATGCCATAAATGATTATCCCACTCTTAGACATACTTCTTTTGTCCATTCACATAGAGGCATTAGTTCCCTGATTTTCCTATAATAAAGTCGCACACAAAATCCATTTCAAGGCCACCTTCCCTTGGAAGAAACTCCACATTAATCTTATAAAGGTCAATGAGCAATGCCATGCACAATATAATCCATATAAATGATATCATTCATGTGATAATATGAAAAAATATTAAATAACATGTTGCTGCAATTAGCCCATAATAGGATTTCCAATCTAAGGCTTTTTTAAGATAATAAAAAAAAATAATTAAAAGAAAATACATAATACAAACTAGCCAACCCTTCCAAAACTAAACCAACACCTAAACATGAAACCATACAACTCAAACCCAGCACCCAAAACCAAAAACCAACCAACAACTGCAAAAGCAAAAAGCACGATACCCGACGCCCTCTTCACCCACGGCAAAGGACTCACAAGCCAGACTTAAGACTTTCCTCTCCCTCCCCTACCAGAATCTGCCACCTTTTTCAGCTTCCTATTTACTGGGATGCCCCCAAAGTTAAACCCTTCATCTGCTTAATCCAAAGAAATAGTTCCTTCTTCCTCGTCCTCATCACTTGACCCTGCGTTTTCACAGCCTCCATCTCCTGTTCCAACTGCTTGAAAGTCTCTCCTGCAAAATCTTCCCCTCCCAAGAAAAAATAAACCTAATTTCTTCGCAACAAAAGAAACCTTCTTCACCCAAACGTCCATCCTCTCATCACCTCTTAACCGACCGTTCTCTGACTCACTACCAACTTTCCTTTTGTCTCTATCTCCAGAGCTGCTTGCCTCCACATCCCCAGCCACATGATCTTCTCCACCACTTCTTGAATGCGACGTAGATGGAGCTGAGTCCACCCCCACATTGCCCCTCATCTCTGGGGTGTCGGACACTGTGAAGAGAGGCAACTCCACCCATCCCGAATTCTGCACCATGACTCCTTGAATGCAACGTAGATGGAGCTGAGTCTGCCCCCACATTGTCCCCCATCTCTGGGATGTCAGACACTGTGAATAGAGGCAACCCCACCCCTCCCAAATTCTGCACCACTACCTCCAGTTCATATTCGTCCCTACTTACACACCCAACCAGATCCAACAAACATTATGCTTTTTCCCCTGAACATTTACACGTAACTCTTAGCCCTGCTTTTTACATGCAAGTTTAGCTGATATAAGTCTCTTCAGGTTCCTCACTACATTTTCATTAAGCTTGAGCCTCCTTGGGGTCGTAGCTTCCATTAAATGCTCTCAAGCGGACGTCGCAAGCACCACCACTTGCCCAGGTGAAATGCCACCAAATTCATCAACCAAATGCACCTTAAACAGGTTGGATCCCCAATTTGAGCCATCACCACATGCGGCTAACTGTAAACCTAGAACCCAGATCAAGATACCCTGTGACGACTTGGGCCCCAACGATGGCAATGAATTTGAAATTGAGGAGAGGATGGGAAAACGCTCTCCTCCAGTCCAGTAGGGCCCATCTTCTCTGCTAACGGGATTACCGCCAACACCACCACCTCTGTTCTCCCCTATTCAGGAAGGCGAACCTCCATCTCACCATTGGGAACAAAGCCTCCCCCTGACAAAACGACCGCTTTCTCCTCCCATGAACCCCACTCCATCTCTGAAATCCGGGGAAAATTCTAACCCTTACTCTTCTAAACGAAGCAAATGGAGCTTGAGATTGGCCCCCAACCCCTCCGACACTTTCAGCCACCGAATGACCCACAAAACTACCAGAAGCCTTCTCCTCCACATCCACCACCGCCCACCTTAGACCACGATTTTGACATGCACCTAAAGAACCAGGGCCTTCCACGACCACCCTTGTTGAAAACACCTCCCCTAAGACCTCTAGCGACATCGTCTTAGGAAGGTCACAGGAAGCTTTAGGCCATACCACTAATCGAACAGCCTCTAAATCTTTCCATTGAAGATTCTCGAGAGCTACCTCCACGAAGACACAAATGACATTGCCCAGCTCTCTGAATGTGCTCCAACACCAGGCATGGAGCGGAACACCATAGAACCGAACTCTCCATTTTTGAAACCCCTCAAAAATGCAAACCCTCTCCACTCCTGGCGTCCAAAGGTCCAGCTCCAAACACCGACATTACACCACAACGGGGACCTTTCCAACAACCACAGCTTCAACCTCATGCTCTGGCACAAGAAGCACTCTTCCTCCAGCTAAAGATCTGATCTAGAATTTTGTCTTACCTCCCCCACCTTTATCCAACCACCATTGAATTTCTTCACAAGAGACACTTTCTCATGCCACCTCTCCAATCAGACAACTATGAAGGCCCGCTGCGCTCTCTCTGGCTTCCTGACTGATAACGCAAATCCTCACCCTAGACTGCAGGACCTTGACTGAGGCTTTCCCTTCTTCCATAAACCCCAAATCCATGACTGGTTAATGAGATTAAGGCTTCCTACACAATCTTTCTTGGTGACAAATAAATCACTAGTTAATGGGTTTACTTTTTGTGCTACAACCCTCTGGTTATTAAGACTGGCTACCTGTGAACTACTAACCTTGAGCGTTATTGAAACTCAACAGTCAAAGAATTATATGATGCTCATCTAAGCTCATATTATAACTGATGTTTAGATTGGTTAGCACAAAAGATGCAATAAATATGTCATTCTCACCTTTTTATATGATCAGGAATATCCTCTAAGGCAGGTAATTTTCCTCCTTGTGAAGATCGAGATCGTATTTCTTTGGCCTCTTCCCTGTTGAAGAGAAAGAAAGATGTAACATGTCGTCATAAGTTTTAAGTTCATAATAAACAAAAAAGAATTTGCAAATAATATAGACATTTGAAAGAAATTACAACACTCCTAAGATACTTCTCCAGCAATATCATTGTGTACTATCTGTATTTTTTTAATGGCAATCATTCTTACAGAATTCATATGATAATAATATATGGCACTAATCGAAGAAGGTAGTCTCATGTATACTCTTTAGTACTGCAAAGCAAGAGGAGGAGCAACAAAGTAGCAATTCTCAAATGTTATGTACAGGCAGGAGAAGTAGCTTTTTTATTGAATAAAGTAATTACAAATATACTTTAGCATTAAAAATGCTGTTAGAAAAAAGAATACATTAGTTTTTTTATCAACAACAGCAATTACATTAGTTATATAACCATGTTTTGGATTTTCTTTTCTTTTTTTTATAAGCAACAAAAGGAGAATATAAATTAAACATCAAGCTGCACACGAAAAGTACAGCCAAAAAAGCATACAAAGCTGGGCCTCCGAAGAGGCCCTCCACATCTAACAGAGAAAAATAAATACAACAAAGCAAAAACAGCACTGATTACAATTTACACATTAGCATCTAGTCCTGGGCATCCCCAGTCTAAACAAGTTTTCTCAACCCCAGCCTTAGCAAGAGAATCAGCCAATATATTGGCATTCCTTGGCACCCATTTGAATGAGGCATTCAAATCAGCACCTAGAGCTTGATTCTGACTAAAGGTCTGAACTTCCAAGGAGTTTGGTCTTGCCTTGTCATCCAGCCTATAACCATTTGACAGTCACCTTCAACTTCCACATTCCTCAACTCCTACTAACCAACAACTTCAAGCCCTGAACCAAGGCCAAAAGTTCAACTCTAGAAGTATTTCCCTGTCCCACTGGGCCTAAGAAGCTTAGCATGATACTGCCCTCATGGTCTCTAACAACTCCTCCCACCCCAGAGGGCCCTGGGTTTCCAAGGCTCCAACTGTCAAAATTGAGTTTGAGCACCTCTAGACCAATCTACCATCCTTTGTTGTCGAGTATGCTGAAACTCTCATCACCTGCCACTCCCTAAGAAGATCATTGATAGAAACCCCTTGAAAAGCCCCACACATCACCAACCAGTGCACTAGCTTTACTTTGGTAAGTTCAAACACTTCCTCTAAAGTTTTGCACTTTTCTTCAAAAATCCTTGCATTTCTTTCACACCATAAACCCCATAGCACTGCATCACAAATGCATTGCCAAACAACCTTTTGTCTTTGAGTGGAGCCACCAAAAACATCTGATTTGAATAGATCTACTACTGCATCTGGTGCCACCCAAGTTTTTCCAAACAGTGAGAAAGAGCTGGATGTGAGAGGTTTGAGGTATGGAAAAGACGGAAAAGGTAAGAATTCTATGTAGAAACACCAAACCAGATTTGGTATTGTTGGAGGAAACAAAACTGGAAAGTTTGACTTGAGATTGAAACTGGATATTTGGGGAGAGGAGGGTGCATAATGGGTGGACCTACAAGCTTAGGGATGGTCAGGAGGGGTTGGGATAATTTGGAGTTCAGAAGGCTTGTTGATTTATTGGAATTTCTGGAATTCACTTGTGTTACAGCCTTGTAATGTAGACGCATTGCCAGTTTAAAGTAGGTATTTGAGTCTTGATGTTGTTGGTGTGTCATCTAGACAACCAATGTGACAGGATGTAACCTTTGGTTTTAATAAATTTTCTTTCTTGATTCTTCAAAAAAAAAAGAGGAAGAGCTGCCATAGTCTATAAACATAGGGACATTGTAATAGTAGATGATTAGTATTTTCCCCACTCTTCCAGCAAAGAGCACACACATGAGGAGAGAGAGACCAGTGTTTCCATTTCCATTTACTTTAAGGGGGAATCAGGCAACCCCATACCTCTTTAACAGGGAATGGTTGAGCTTCTGAAATGGGAAATAAGAATTGAAAAAAGGAGGCACGCATGAAACAACCATTTGTATCAGGGGTCCAAATTCTCTCATCATTCCCTGATGAAGACAAAACAAAGATTTCAAGAAGGGTTACAAAAGAGACCAGCTCATTTATTTCAAAATCCCTTAAAGACCTTCTTAGACCCAAATCCCAAGCTAAACCATTCTCTCCAAAGGAAAACAAATCTGCAATTGAACTATTTTTAGAGTTGGACAGCCTATAAATTCTCAGAAAGGTTTGAAAAAAACGATAGTCCGCCCCCAAGTATCTTCCCAAAACTTACACTTTGCCCTGAAACCACATCATACTTTATGTCTTGCATGAAAGTAGGCAAAAGAATCAGAATTGACCTCTAGGGGCTTCTCAAAATTGCTCCCCTGGCAGGCCCTGAGTCCCAACCATATGGGTGCAACCAAAAGATGCTTTTGATCACCAAATGCCTTAAAGCCTCTCTTTCCTTTGGGAATCTCCACAACCATTTCCCTAACAAAACCATGTTTTTTCTTAAATTCTACCAATTCCTAAACCTCCCTGCTCTTTAGAAATGCTCGCCTTTTCCCAATTCAACAAATGACTACTCTTACTATCTCCCAGATCCCACAAGAAATCTCTAATGAACTTCTCCAACCTCCTCACCACCTTCCCTGGAGCCCTAAACATAGACAAAAAATTGACTGGGAGATTGGATAAAGTAGTTTTGACCAAAGTGATTCTCCCCCCTTTGGAAATGTAGTTCTTTTTCCAAGATGCCAACCTTTTCCCAAACCTTTCAATAATACTCTCCCAGGACTCCTGTCTTGGGTTACCTCCTAAGGGCAGTCCTAGATATTTAATTGGCCACTCCTTTATCTCACAACCCAACACTTCTGCACACTCCTCCAGCTCTACTCTCTCCAGGCTAAGGCCCACTACACTACATTTCCTCAAATTGGCTTTCAAACTGGAGACTCTCTCAACTAGTTCTAAAATCTTTTTTATAGTCCTAATGTCTTGAACCCCCTTGAACTCACCTAAAATTAAGGTATCATCTGCAAACTAAAGGAGAGACACAACTTTGCTTCCCCTCCCAATTCTAAAACCTCTGAAGATATCCCTTTCATCTGCTCTCTTTAAAAGTTTACTGAAAATCTCTGCCACCAAAGTAAACAACATTGGTGAAAGTGGGTCCCCTTGTCGTAATCCTCTTGAAGCCTTGAAAAAAGCTTTTGGAGAGCCATTGATCAGTATTAAAAAGTGAGTTGTCCCCAAACACCCCATCATCCAGCCTATCCATCTCTAACCAAAACCCATTTGGTCCATCACAAACCATAAGAAAAATTCTAGTCCACATGATCATAGGCCTTTTCCAAGTCCAATTGGAAGACAAAATCTTTGTTCCTTGATTTCTAAAATCCCCCATTGCCTCATTAGCTATTAGGGTCTGACCCAAAATCGTCCTTTGCTTAATGAAAGCTCCTTTTTCCCTTGGATCCACCCAATGAAGAACCTCTTTCGGTCTCACCGAAAGAACCTTAGCCACTATTTTGTAAAGACTTGTAGCAAAGCTAATAGGTCTGAACGCATTTGTAGAGGCAGCCCATACACGCTTTGGGATCGACACAAAGGATGCATTCATTCCTTTTCCCGCTTTTCCTCTCACATAGAATTCATCAAACACTTTCTTTAGATCCCAACACTTATGGTAAAAAGCCATAGTGAAACCATCTGGACCAAGGGCCTTATCACCACTCATACCCATTACAGCCCTCTTAATCTCCTCCAAAGAGAAAAATTCCTCAAGCCTTGTCACCACCTCCGAGGGCAACTTCTCTCACTATAACCCTTCTTCCACCACAGGCCCTTGTGTACACCTTGGTGAGTACAAATCCTTATAATAAGAGACTAAAATGCTCTCAATATTCCCTTTATCCCTAAATTCTTCACCATCAACCACCACACTAGAAATCAGATTTTTCTTCCTTCACCCATTTGCCAACAGGTGGAAAAATTTGCTATTGCCATCCCCCTCCTTTAGGGGTCCGATACACCTGTTTATAGGTGTTTTCAGGAACCCTTTTTTAATGAATAATATAATATATACATATAACTGAAATTTAAAAAACTAAAAAAAAATAAAGGCGCATGGTTTAAAGTACCGATACACAAGGTGCATTGATACTTTGAACCATGGCAGAAAGCACCACCTCACCCCAATATTTCCAGGACATGAAAACAAAGATGTGGGAAACACCATCTCTACATTTTTTGGTACCATCTCTACATATTTGGCTTCACTTTTCTCAGCTTTTGGTTCCACATAGCACCCAGCCCTGTTAAATCCTATTCCACCAACACTAGGGCCAATATTTCCAGGACATGAAAACAAAGATGTGGGAAACACCATATCTACATTTTTTTTTGATAAATGACCATCTCTACATTTTTTTTTTGATACCATCTCTACATACTTGGCTTCGCTTTTCTCAGATTTTTGTTCCACATAGCACCAGGCCCTGTTAAATCCTATTCCACCAACACTAGGGCCAAAACAAATGTAAAAGTCCTAAGAATATATGAAAGCACAGCCAATACCAAAACATACAATGTTGTCATTTGTCAACCAAATACCCATCAAACTTCAATCTGTTGAGAGTTTGTATCAAGAAGGTGCCAAGCATGGCAAATATTCAACTAGAAAAGGTGGAACCTAGAAACATAAGAACCATCTCTTTACTGATAAAAAAAAAAAGCATAAGAACCATCTCTTGCAATAGCAGAAATCAAGAAGACCTCTATCTCCATGTTGGAGTAACTGTCATAAATGATTCTACAAGCTCCCCTAGTCAGAGGCCTCAGAGCAATGACTACAAGAAAGCAAGCTTCTTCAAATAAGTTTGTTTCCCTCTAGGAAAATGGTTCATGATATCATGTCCATGTGAATGCTAGCAATTCTATGTGATTATGCTAATAATCTTTGATTGTCTAAAATGGCCAAAGCATGAAGAGAAAGCTTCTATGATTATCTCCTGTGAGCCATGTTGCAAACATCAACCTCTTTCTTTGTTTCAGAGGATCAAGAGCAATTTACCAGTAAAAATACTTGCTTACTTCAATGATCCAAACCCTAGAAAAGAAGAATTGTATCATCATTTATTACTGTGGCATGAAGTTTTATTGAAGCAAATGTAACACCCTGAGAAATAAAATATATGAGTGCGCAGCCAAAGAAAAAAAAAATACAATCACCAGAAACCTTGAGGAATAGCTACCAAATAAGATAAAACTGTTATTTTATTACTTAACAATTGCATGTATCTCATATGTGAAAAAAGGTGCAACATACGCACATAAATTTGAGATACATCTCTTTAACTACTGTTATCACACAAAAAAGCAAGAGTTACAAAAATAAAACCAAGTAACCATAACCCTGCTTTCAATTTAACATAAATAAAAAAGATAGAATTCTTCCAAGTATAATGTGAGAGTTTAGAAGCCCAAACCTATCTTCAGCATAGTAAATATGTTTGTTTGATGGTTGATCATCAAGGCAATGTAACTCAGCACTTAGCTTTTCAACTTTCTGCAGAAAACAAAGGATTCTTAAGGGTCAAAAAACCAACAATGGGAACAAGTAACCTTTCATACCTATTTGAAAATACGTATTTACCCTTTTTTCACTTTGAACTTTCTGAAGGACATATCCCATATCTTGAGTTTTCATTAGCATGAGCTCCTCTTGAGAGTACTTGTTGGGCTCAATCCTGAAACAGACATATTAGTATAAATTAGGAGGGCGAAGGGGCCAAAAACTATGTTAACAGATACAGCAAGGACACGGCTGCATACAGTACCAGTATGAAAGTTACACTAAAAACTTAAGTATCCAACATGATACAACACCCTTGTACAGGTATCTGGGTATCATAGGCCAAAAAGTTGAGAAAGTGCAACTAGAGAGCAGGAAATTAATGTCTACTTTACCCTGGTTTATGGACTCCATTAATAGTCCTTGTTTTTATCATCTTGAAGTAAAATTCATCTGGGTTCCTGGACGTTGCCTTCTCCTTGAGTTTCTGTAAGACAACCAACAAATGTTACCCAATTAATAAAACCTAAATTCAAGGAACCAATTCCTACATATATGTTGACAGGGAATATAAATATAAATAGAAGAAAATATTAATAGAATAAAATTTGGCAAAAGAAACTTAAATTGATACCCGTAATGTTTCTTCTTTCTTATGAAATGCTCTTGCTCGTATGACATAGTCTTTGTGCTTCTCGAGAAGCCCAAACTTTTTCCTCGAATGCCTGAGAGATTATACAAATCATCATGTAAAGGCCCAGAAAGGTAGAAATGAAAATGCAAATGGAAGAGAAGCATGGTCACTCACGGCTGAGCTCGTTCTTTGTGAGCCCGTCTATTGATAGCATTTCTTAATGATGACATTATAGATCAACTTTCAATTGGGAGGTCAAGAATGAGGGGGTCTTCCCTTTGCAGGCTGAAATTTTCAAGCTTTTTGCAAAATGAAACTTTCAAAGCATGCTGTAAATTTTCAGGAGATAAAAGCAAGATATTAGAACTCATTATTTAGATAGAACTACAAAATCCAAGTTTTATATTGATTACTGAAGTTGATAAGGCAACCATCAACCCTAGATACAAACACTTCATTGAACGCTTAAGTGTTGCCATTTTTTAACTCATTCAAGGAAATGTTTTACCTGTCTAACATTTTATGCCTAGTTGGAGAAAAAAGAACATCTCAAAATCTATCACATGTCAATGGCATATAATACAATGCTTCAAATGCACATAGCATATGTAAAGATAGTAGGAAATAGGAATACTCAAACTAAGTAATTTTGTACATATTAGCAAACTAACTCGGGAATGAACCTAGAACTTCATATGGTGAGTAAAGTCAATAAAGAAAAAGACAATTAATATGAAGCACAAAAACAAAAAAAAATAAGGTAAGGTGTTCACAATTTGTCTTAACTAGATAGCGACCACCTTATACTAAGTATTGGGTCACTTTTCTGATCTACTTTGTTTGACACTTATTAACAATTTATGTTAGGCTTCTTATTTGATTTTTTTTCTTTTGATATATATAAAGGTTTCTTATTTGATTTAAGAGATTAAATCAGGTTTTACTTGTAAACAATAATCCATTTTATTTGAGATTCATTATTTATCAAGTATATCTAATCTGGGTTCTTTAATTAATTTAAAAGATTAAATCGGGTTTAATTTGTAATTGCCAACCTAGTTCATCTAAAAGAATGAGACCCACATCATTGAAAGTCATGATAATAGTCTTTTATTTGAATTAGGAAATTGAATCAAAAATATTAATATGGGCATCACATCTTTTATTCTTTTATTGGTAACCACATGTCTGAAGTTAGCACTTTTTACTAAGAGTGGGTAAACACATGTCTGAGGAAGAAAGCTTAAATTTGAGAGTGTAAAGAACCATCTCTTAATACTCTTTCTTCTCAAGATAGTGTGCCATTTGCCTGAAGTAGAAGCCCTCCGGTCCAAGGTCATTCAGCAGCAGTTGCCAGGATGTAGTTCTATTATTCTTGAACACTAAATTCATGTTTGCATTAATATAATATAACTAGTTCTTGGATTGACTGAATTCATACCTCCAAAATTGAATAAAACAATGATACTTCTAATTTCTTTAACAAACAGGAATGTGTAAATATACAACATAATTTTGAATTCATGCAAATCAAATCTCACATATAAACAGTCTGTGATGGAGAGTTAACGGAAAAGGAGCTGTGCGACAGTTGTCAGAAACAATAGGAGTATTTTAAGACAATACTGAAACAGTAGGGGTATAGTTAGTCAATTTCCTAAACCTTAGGTGTAGTTTAAGAAATTTGCCAAAAAAAAAAAGAAAAAGTGAAAAACAAAGGAAATTTGACTGTTGAGGACTCGAGTGTCAACTAAACAAAACAAATAGGAGATTCAATCCAAGGACTTGCTTTCCAAACCCTAGGGGTCTGTTTGATTGCTGAGAAAGGAATGAGAAAATGGAATATTCCCGAATTATTCTTCCTTTCTTGTGTTTATTTACTGGTAAACAGTGTTTTGGGATGAGAAACAAGAGGGACACGGGATCCCAAAATTAAGTGAGCGGGGTCGCACCAAAACAGTGTGACCCCGGTGAGAAAAGAAAATGCTAAGAAAATGCAAGCTGAGCAATCTAATACAAGGTGGGATGCGGTGTAAAATAGATTCCAATCAGACGAAGAAAAAAGGCATTCCCTCACGAAGGTGGCGCCCTTCGCTTTCAGGCGGCCGAGAAACATCAAAAGAGGAGGAAAAGAGGCGAAATCCGAGATCGGAACTCGAGAGTCAAAATTCCAAATAGAAGGAAGCGACAGGAAACAAAATAGAAGGGCGGTCGTCGTCGTTTTTGATCAATCGATATTTGAGTAACGAGATGGTGGCGACCTCACTATACAGAGGGAACCTACACAGGGCGCCCGACGTCCCTCGGCGATGGCTCATGCCAATCCCTCGCATTTCCCTCAAAGATTTCAGGATTCTCCTCCGCAAACGGGAGAAAGCTCTATCTCTATCTCGCGTTGGAGATAGTGGTTGTTCCAAACAAAACGGAAGAAAGCTCTGTCTCGCTTCTGAGCCCCAATCCCAGCCAACCATCGCCAGGAATTCTGAAGATGCGCCATCCCAGCATGGAACAATTGAACACGCCAAAGATCATAATGAAGCAGACTGCGATCCTCGTGCTGAGCAATCCAGAGAACTCGGTGGCTCTATTGGTGTTGAAAAACCATTTCGGGGGATACTCGACGCCGACGCCGACGACGAATCCGACGATCTCTACCTCATGATGGTTAATTTCGTGTCTCAATGGTTGCCAGCTATCTCAGGACAGTTGAAATCTCTAGCAATTTCGGATTTCTGGATCCAATCTTGCTGGCGACGATCCGAAGTTCTGTCTCTGATTGCTGGCGACAATCAGCTCAAAAAAATTTTCTTGCAAAACAAACACTAGAAAGTGGATTTTCTCACAAAAAATTTCTCAGCAAACAAACACATTATAACTAACTGAGAAAATAAATTTTCCTTTTCTCATCCCAACATTTCTCATCCCATCCTTTCTCAGTCCAATTTTCTCAGCAATCAAACAGACCCTAGATGAATAGATGCCATTAACAAGCGATTTATAGGTACAAACCGTTCTTTGGTCAAGTCAAGGGGCAGAAATCGTTTTCCAATATTCTTCATTGTTTTGTTTTCTTCTTCTTTCGGTGCCATTAAGAAGAGATTTGCATGCTTCTCTTTCTTCAAATTTCAGCCAAAGGCAAAAACCATTTAGAAGAAATCATTTGATTTCATTAGTGTTTCTTCTTCATCTTCTTCTCACTTGAGGATGCCACTTTTTCCAAGTGAAGCAATAACAAGAGCATTCTGCAACATCAAGCTATAGAAAAATTCTCTTTGCATCGAATTAAGCAACGTGACTAGGACAGGTACAAAGGAAACCACATCTAAACCCCCATGGGCTTAAGTGAATTAGGTTCGGTAATGGTTCCTTAAGAAGTTAGATTTATAAAGTTTCAAGAGCTTGAAGATGGAACTATTGTGGTTGTATCATTTGGGGTTGAAGCAAGAGATGGAATAGCACTTTGGCTAGCTGGTATTGGTAGAGAGTCTGTATTATTTCTTTGTCCAGACACCAAGATTAACTTGAAGGAAAAAATATATTTTACAAGTAGTTAAAAATAAGGTCAGACAAATAAAAAATAAGACAGAAAATAGTGACAAGATAACTAGGTTACTATAAAGGTAAGAACTAGAGAGATTGGGCATTAACAAAGATGGAATTAGCTACTGAAGAAATCATCTTTAAGCTTTCTTTTTTCTTATTTCTTTATGGTTTTGGAGAACAACCAGGTGGAGGTGGTGATGGGTCGGGGCTATTCTTCAATGATAAATTGAATTAAAATAATAAAAATAAAATATCCATCCAACAAGTATTAAGTCAAATGAGAAAATGAATGGAAAAGGATGTGAGAAACTAGCTAACATATTGCTGTCATATGCAAATCCATAAGAATATTGTCTGTGGGACAGCCAGATTGGTTACTACTTTTATGACCATAGTAGAACTCATTATAAATACATATATATCAGAAATAGAAACAGTCAATTTCTGTTTAAAACTTTAAATATTCAACTGTTTCACTGATTTGTGAGAAAGAAGCTAGTGGAGTTGATAATTGATTAAAAAGATGAGACCTATTACAGTTGAAAAGGGTTACCAACTGTTTTTTATTTAACTCAGTTCYAATGAAATAATTTGTTGATGAAGCAAATTTACTGAATTATAATACAAACTAGTATACTTCCATACAAAATAATGCTTCGTTGTTAAGTAATGTTTTGAAAAATGAATCAGTTTAATGGTTCTTGCTGCTATACAAAAGTCAGTTATTATTAGAACTGTTTGACTGACGTTGGTAATGTATGTTTTTGAAATGAGTTTCTTCTTTGTAGAGCCATATGCTATGCGCATAAGCTGTGGGTCTCGACTTAATATCCACACCGCTCCAACCAATACACTTTGGTACAAAGATTTTGGTTATACAGGAGGAAGGCCAGCAAATGCATCACCTACAAGTTACATTGCTCCTCCACTTAAAACACTTCGCTATATTGTATTACATTGTTTATAGGTGGGAAAAAAAGAAAAGAAAAACCCCATACACATCATAGTTATGCACATCATGAATGGCTACAGCTATGAGAAAAACTTTGGAAGTTTGGAGCTTAAGAACTTTATCTTAGAATCGATAGTAAAGCCAGGATTTAAACATTCTAATCAATGTTCCTTTGTGTCAAATTACTAGTCATATTCGCACATGTAGAAGCAGAATAGAGCCATCGTTTCTCATTCCTTTTAAGAAAACAGAGAGTGGAAACTCTGATGCTTAATCTTTGGGTCTACTCAGTAATCTCTAACCTCTCAAATGAGAAACACAGTTACAGAGAATACATACGGCAAAGAACGATTCTGGGCAAACTGCTGCTGGAAGTGTCGAATCAAATGAGAGAAGGAAAAACAGAGAACGCCAGAAAGGAGTCACCGCCTCACCGGTCTCCCTGCTGCTACGGCGCCCGGTGGTCGGCGGCCGGCGGGCGAACTGTGATCTGCGAAGACTGAGAAGAAGAGGCGAAGACGAACCGGAAGTAAGTTTCGAGGTAAGAAGAGAGAAACGGGAAGTTCCAAACGCCAAAACCTAACTCATATATAAAAAGTATTATCGTAATTTAATATACGGGTTCGGGATTTATATGCAGACCCACGGTCCCCATCCCCGGTCCGGGGCAAAAGAAATTCCCAAACCCGATCCGTACCGTCCCGTTTGGGGCGGGTCAAATTAAGGATCCGATTTTATGGGGAAAATTGTCAACCTATTCTAGTTTGGGAATGAAACCCAAATCTTTTTTTCATGACCACCGCCATGCAGACATTGTACCAATCGAACAGCATAACTACTGCTTAGGTTCTTCAATCTGGATTTTGATTTCTGCCTTATCGAAAACTTCTAACCAGAATTATCCATTATTATTTCATATTTGTTAAATTTAATTTGTGGGTTTTGATTTTTGGTAGAAATTCTTGATCGAGAGGGCAAATTATATATTCACACTCTTGTTAAAGCTTTTGATCCTGTACTTTGTTGTTTATAAAGGTTTTTGTAACCTCTCTCCCCCTTTATTTTCTTATTTTTTTGTTGTAGAGTCTGATCTGGTGGAAATATTGAAGGTGGATCTTATCGTCGATTGGGTTGCCGACGACAGCTGCACCAATTCTACCGGCTATCAAGCCAGCCACTATCTTGTGCACAAAGGGCATATTTCCCAAATTAAAGTCGAACCATTTTTGATTCATGACATCGTAGAGGCTCATACACACGGTGGAGTATAGTGTTTGTCGTAGGACGGTTGTCGAAATGCCAGAGAAGAGAAGAGGGCAACGACACCTTCTATTTTAATAATCTGAATCCCAACGGCGATGGGACATTGTGAACAGACCAGGCAATATTGACTGCAGGATTTCTAAATTCTAATTTGGAGAGATGAAGGTGATGACTCGCTGTGGCGTCGTTGGACAGAAGTTGCAATGGTTGTCATTGCAAGCCACGATGTTCTTCTCCACTCCAGTAGTGGCGGATGTTCTTCTCTACTTGAGAACATCTCTACGCAAATATAGGGTCAAAATAGTAATTTACTTACTACTTGACACTTTTTCTTAATGTATGGGCAAAACGACTTTTCATGTCTTCATTATGATCTAAGGATGATGACAATTGTAAAAAACAGTAGGGGTACTTCAAATTTGCACCATGCCCCACACTCAAACAACTTTAAGAAATCTAGGTTCCCATAAATGATCTAATATGACATTCTTGCTTTATGTTGGGGTGTCATCAAGTTGATCGTATGATCTAGATTGTTCATACATGTCTGTAAAGGCTGAAACTGAGATCCAATGGTCGATCTTACATGAAAATCACATCTAACGGCTCATATCACTTGATGAGCACATTTATCCTATGAATTCTGGATACAAGTTTTGCATTCGTGTGTTTGATTATGATTTGCACTCTTACCTAATATAAAATTTGTACTTTTGCCTCATTTCCATCTATTAGCATTGCAAATTTTGCAACTAAAATTGATACAAAATTTGCATTACTTCCTCCTACCTCAATTCTCTCATATAAATGCCATTTTAAACGAAGGGTTGGTTGTCTCTGATCATCCGGCCCTTCAAGTAACGTTGCAATCCCAATGAAATTACATAAATCGCAAGGGTAGCCCACTAAGGGACAATCAACCAACTATAAATATTTATGCTCCTATCATACAAGCCCAAGTGGTGGATCCAAAAGTAGAGATCATCTCGGGTACGGTGAGGATCTAGGAACCAAAGCAAAAATGGGTCTTACAAATAACCATGGAGGAACCCAAGAAAAAGTTTAAAAGGGAATTTAATGGGCCAGACACACATATGGGCCAGCCCAATGAAATTGAAGAAGGTGGTGACCCTCTCCGAAGGACAGATAAGGGTAAGAGTCTAATGCAACAACCCAATCCTTGTTAGGACTCTACAAATCATTAGAGTTTCATGAGATATGCTAGAAAAAGCTAACCTTGAAGCTCGCTAGGACTGTTGGCAACAATGAAAACCTTGGCCTGGAATTGCCATGGTCTATGGTGGGCCTCGGCAATTTGGGCTTTAAATTACCACATTAGGTCTCACCACCCTAGCATAATTTTTCTCGTGGAAACAAAAATCACATCTAACAGGATAATTTTTTTTTGCAAAACCAATGTTACATGGATTTGATTACAATAGAGTCGGTTAGATTTTTCGGAGGCTTAGTGGTTGCTTGGAATCAAGATGTATCTATATAGTGTGTTTCAACTTTAAGTCGAATCATAGATACCTGGGTGCATACACTTTTAGCATGAATTTTGGAGGAACACCTTTGTTTATGGAGATCCTTGAAAATGAGTGTAGACAACAAGTCTGGAATACCTTAAAATCCATTGCTTGGTTTATGGATTAGAAGTAGGTAGTCTTTGGCTATTTTAATTAGGTCACTAGTCTCTCTAAGAAGTCAAGTGGAAAACAAAAGGTCAATATAGGAATATATGTTACAATTCTGAAACATGTTTGCCTCTTGCAATCTCATGGAGATTCACAGCCATGGCCCTATTTTCACTTGGTCAAACAAGAGGTATAGTAATGGTCTAATCAAATAGCATCTGGATAAAGTTTTGGTCAATTTAGAATGGTGGACGGCTTTCCCAAAAGTAGTAACTCTCAATGACCCAACGGTGGGCTCGAATCATGGGCCAATAATTCTGGATTTCAACCCCACTGTTGGGAGGGTTTTAGTTCGAGCCAATGTGGCTTTCACACCCAGAGTGTGAGGAAGTTATTAGAAGAGCTTGGGAATCTGCCTCACAGTCAGGTGCTAACCTAGGTCACCACCTTGGCAGATGTCGAATTGGTCTAAAAAAGTGGAATAGAGTCAGCTTTGGTAAAGTCCAAAGAAATATTGCTAGCTTCAGAAAAAAATTAAAGGAAATCACCAAGGCAATGAATGAAGAGCCAGATAGAGAAGTCCTATGGAGGAAAAAATTTTAAATATCCTAGCTTAAAAATTGGGACAGGAATACGCGTTTCTTCCACCAAAGTGTGATCCTCATAAGAAATAGGAACATATTGTTGAGAATTCATAACGAACAGAATGTTTGGGTGCATTCATAAGAGGAAGTCCAAGAGGTAATTATTAAATTTTTCAAAATCTTTATACAACAAGCTCCCTTCTAGATGGATCAAACATTTTGGCAGTTTTGCAATCCACCTTGGATGAAGACACGAAAAGGAGGTTGGATCATCCTCTTAGGAGGGGAGGAAATTAAAAAGGTTGTTTTTGACGTAGGCTCTTTCAAAAGCCCCAAGCTAGATAGATTTTTAGGCCTTTTTTACCAGAAACTCTAGAACATAGCGGGGGTCAGAGTAATAATTACAATTCAATAGTGGTTTGAAGTAGCAGAGTTCCCTAGTAGTGTAAACTTCAAAAGCATTGCGTTAATCCCAAAGTGCAAGTAGCAAGGTTATGACCCAATATCATCCAATCAACTTAACAAATGTCACATATAGAATCTATCTAATTGCTTGGTAAATAGACTTAAAGAAATCATGCCCAGGATCATGGATTAAATGTAGTGTGCCTTCCTCAAAAACATGTACATCTCCAACAATATTATGATAGCTCATTAGGCCTTTCATAAACTCCATACGAGGAAGAAGGGTAAGTCCTTTTCATGGCAATTAGAATTGATTTTAACAAAGCCTATGATAGGCTTGAGTTAAGTTTTATGAATACAATATTGACAATGATTGCCTTTCTTAAGCATTGGTAGAAGCTAATCCAGCACTACATTTCCTCGGTTGAATACACAATAAATATAAATAGAACTCAGAGGGACAAAATCAAACCTTCGAAGGGGCTCAGACAAGGAGTAACGGTAACGCTAAATATCTAGGGGTTCCTACTCTTGTTAGTTACTTTAAATCTTTATTTTCCTCTTGTTTGTAAAAAGAACAAGGCCTAATAGTCAATGTTTGTAAATTGTAACAATTCCCCTCCCCATTAAATCTTTATTTTCCTCTTAAATATATCCTAATCCCTTGTGGCACTCTCTAATAAAGTATAAATTAGATGGGTTGGGTAGGGTTAAGGGTCAACCTAATCTTAGCATAGACCCAAATTAATGTCTAAAAACCCAACCCCAATCTAAATAAATCATTGCACCTTCCCTTGGGTTATCAAGTTTTTCCCTCTATTTAATTTGCTTCTTTCCTTGGCTTTAGGTTTTTCCATTTAATTTAATATAGAGTTGATTAATGGATTATTCTGGTTCAGTAAGAAATAACTTTGTGCGAGTTTCTGGTTATATTCATCAGTTCAGTTTTGGATTTGTTTTTCCTTTTTTTTTTAACTTGGTCGTTAATCTCATTCTAAGCACTTTTTTTTTGCTTTATAGGGCTACAAATGGGAGGTAACCCATTGCCCCAACCCAGGTCTCTGCTATAACTAATTAGATAAGGTATCAACTGAGCCACCATAGTTGGTTTATATGTTTTTCATAATATATAAACTATATAAAAAGGAAGGTTTGAAGCTTAATAAATAAAAAAGAAAAGAAAATTATTCTACTATTCTACATGTAAAAAAGTAGAAATACAGCATCCCGTGCATCGCACGGGTCACTGCTAGTAAAATTACTAAAAACAAACAGAAGGCTTCTGAAAGACATCTCTAAGAGGGAGGAGCCTCATTAGCAGCAGCTTCAAATGTCTCTCCAGCAACAAGTTCTGGGACGTCATCATCATCTTCCTGTGTTGCAACTGCTCCCGGTACCTGCTTCTGAAACTGCTCTGCAAGCCGCCTCAAATTGTCCAGGTTATCTGGCCCTGTAAGTTAAACAAGGAACCATCAAAAAGGCAAATTCACACGAGTACAAAGTGAATACATTGACCATCTCCCCAGAATGATAACATCTGACACCAATATTCAAATAGGAGCAACAAGATTAATAAACTGGGAACCATATGCTGCTGTAGAACCATGATTTAAATCTAAAATTCTCCACAAAAAAAAAAAAAGTTAGCATCAGGAAATTCAAATGTGCATATTCCACAGTTTATAATTGTTTCAGAGTATATAAGCTACCATGAATTTACACTCTAACCTATTTTTTTTATAGAAATTTACACTCAACCTATTTGCACTCCTATGTTTAAACCAGTGCTAATGAAATTTGCACTGCAATCCATTTGTTTCACCGCAAAATGGATGTGAGAATTCAGGATGAAACATTTCGGCTAATCCACATACAGAGTTTGCAACTTGTACACAGGAAGCCAAAAAAGATGTAATTAAGTTCAACTTGAAAAATCAACTAATCCACATATAATGACTCTTTAACCAACATATGATCGAAAATAAATTCTATATGGTTTCTAAAAGACCTAAATAAATCATTTTCTAGCAAAGACTATTTCAAACAAGAGTCTCATGAAAAAAAAAATACAAGGAAGCTGAGTAAAGAACAAGTCTTAAAAAGAACCGACTTAAACTGCATGAATCATATAAATTCTAAGATTCATGATAGAAGAATGATAAGATTCAAATAAAAAGGATTCAGATACAAAAGTTCAAGCCAAAACCCTTTGAGTAAATGGTTCAAATTGTGAACGGAAATCTTGGGATTGCACTTGCATTTCTTTTTCTGAATCTGCCACCTCAACCACTGAATCTGCCAAAACCCTTGGGAGTAAATAGTTCAAATTGCGAATCAAATCATAAAACATAAGATTTTACTTGCAAAGAGGAAGACAAAGAAAAGAAAAGAAAGTTGGAAAAATCTGATCGGGCATAACCCTTTCTGATATGATTTATATGAGAACAGACTTCCACTGGAACTGAGCAGCTCTCAAGAACGGAAGAAATGGTGAGTCCAGAACTTGGAGGGTGTTTTGTGCCAGTGAGGAAGTAGGAGGAGGAGGTGGTTTTTGAAAGAAAGAGATTCCTCTTTGGGAAAACAGGAGGTCTGGCACTTAAAAACAGAGAGGACAAACGAGCAACTGGGATTCTAAGCAGATTGACAACAGACTGGGTCAAAGGATTCATTGATGACACTGTTCAGGTGGTCACTGCAACTGGATGGAAGGGTGAGATGACGAGTGTAGCGAATATATTCTTCATGGAGAAAAAGTGTAACAACAAAGGCCTTCTCGTCGAGCTGAGTGAGATTTGGAAATGGCAGGCACCAATTGTTTGTTTCCCTGAAACAGGGGGGGAGACTGATCGCAGAAACATTGGAAGAGCTTGCGCAGAGAAGATGGATAGTAGAGAACAGTAACCAAGTAGAAGAAGGGGAAGCTAAACAAAGGTTGGAGTCTTGAAGACAGGAAGAAAACGAACAACCGGTGAGGGGAATGGCTGGGCTTCTCTACTTTTGAGCTAATGGCAGAAGGCAATATAGAGGATCGGAAAAGTAGGAATGTTGTGAAACCAGGAAGAAAAGTGGCAGATTGGCAAGGGGAATTGAATGATGTGATGAAGAATTTTCCTACCAATGAACAGGGGTTTCTGTTTCCATTCCAGCTGAAAGCTTCCATCCTCAACTCTGGAGGAACTCAAGATGAGATTTTCATAGTGAATACCAGGTTCAGAAAGACAGTGATAGAAAACAGGAACCCTTCATGTAATGAAGTAGATGTCAGTGAAGGAAGTTTTGTCAACAGAATAGTCAGATTTCCATTCAACCTTTGGAACGATCATGTTCTCAACCAGGTAGCAGTGATGCGTGGTCGGGCTTTGATGTGCTTGAAGACATCCTTGATGAGAAGTTAATTTCTACAAGTGCGGGTTATCAAAGTCTCTTGTAAAGTGGAAGAATCTACCTCTTTCAGAATGTTCATGGATTACAGCTGAAGATATCATCTCAATCCAGAACTTTATGAGCAACACCATGCCTTTAACTCGCCAGGGTTGATTTCTTTCAAGCCGGGGAGAGATGATGGGGATCAGTCCAGGCACTACAAGACCAGTTCTCGTAAGAAGGCCAACAAACAGGTTCTGATTTGGCATGGAGAAAACTCTTGGGAGCTGAACTGATCTGGTCAGGGGTATTTTTGTCATTTTGACTAGCCCCATGTGGGCTTGGGCTATAGCATCTTGTTCCTCTAGCTCAATAGTGCTTGTCTTTCAATTTTCAGTTTATTTGCATTAGTAGATAAAAAGTTGTGTTTCTTGATGCACAAGACAAGGAGTCGCATCTCTCTCTCTCTCTCTCACACACACACACACACACATTTCTGTCTTCTGATAGTTTGTTCCAGCCCCACTGCATCACTCTTACACACTGCCAAAAAATCTTTTGCCTCCTAGTAGTATATCTCAACCAGCTTCGGTCTAAAAGATCTGCAAACTCAGCCAGGGCCTTCCAAGGAAAAAAATGCTGCCACACAGAGGAAGCAAAGGAACAATGAAAGCAAAAGGTGGTTGGTACTCCCCCCACTCTTCAAGCAAAGGATACAAACATGAGGTGAAATGAACCAATTCTTTTGTATTTTTCTCCTAGTCTTTTGGTTTTAGAAAACTCGAGAAATTTTGAGGTTGACAAGGCACCATTGCTCCCCAAAATTCTTGATTCTGTTTATTCAGACCCCTCTAAATTTGATGCTCGAATCTGACTCCTAACCCTCCAGGACTATTTTCTTTTTTGATCAATACCCTCCAAGACTATTTTATTGTGCTTCTTTTTCTTCATGTTGTGCTCTAACCCTCACCCTCAGCCTTTTTATTGTAAGGAAATCTGGATCAAACCCATCCCTCCCAAGTTGGAAGCTCTTTGTTGGGAAATCTTAGAAAACTAAACACTTTGGACAATCTGCAAAAGAGAAGACTTGGTCTTAATATTTCCCCAAACTGGTATATCCTTTGCAAAGCTAATGGAGAAAGTTATTATCACCTTCTAATCTTCTACCCTTTGGTTGTAGGACTTCAGGAAAAGCTTTTTGGTCTTTTTGGTTGCACGTGGATTGTGCCTTTGCAGATTGGTTGCCTTTTTGACCCTATGACCTTCAGATGACCTAAGAAAAGAGGTAGAGTTTTATGGAGGTGCGCTAGGGTTGCTTTGGTATGGAGGAAAGAAATGCTAAAATTTTTAATGATAAAAGAAAAGAAAAGGACGAGTCTACTGCTTGGGATTACTTACTTAACATGGCTATTATTTGAGCTAAAGCATTGGACCTTTTCTCACAAGTCTCTTATGCAGACATTTGGTGAAATTGGGAATTGATTGCAAAAGGCTCTACTATTAAGAACAAGCCTGTTGTGGATTGGAAGGGCCATGAAGAAGATTTTATCAAGTTAAACTTTAATGGTAACAGCCTAGGTAATCCTGGACCTTCTGGTATAGGGGGAAGTCTTCAAGAATGAAGAGGATCAGATCGTTGCCTTATTCTCTGGTCCTATTGGAGTGAGGGATGTTGTGAGTGTGGAGGAGGTCCAAGAAGTTTTACAGGAAGTACAGATTGCTAAAGAACAGAATGTTGGGAGATTGCTGATTGAAAATTTGTAATCAGACAGCTGAAGGAACCAGAGACTGTAGCTTGGTCCTTTTAGGGGGGCATGAGAAAATTCAAGTGGCAAACTTCAAATTTAAAGGTGAGAGTCCAATGGAAAGGAGATCAGTCAGTTGGCAAATTCTTTAGATAAGCAAGGGATGTACAAGGACCAATTATTTTGGGCTCAATGGTAATTATATTGTGCTTCTGAGGCTGCAGCATCTTGTGCAATGTGGGAAGTTTTCATTGTGTAACTAACCCTTTTGATTGATTATTGTCATCTGTCAAAAAAAAAAAATCAGCTAATGGGTCCACAAATGCATTGGCAAAACAAGGGGTGAAAAGAGAAAATTTGTTTTAGGGGGTGGGAGGGGGATCCTTTATTTATTGGTAGTGGGGGAACCCTTGGAGGTATACAGCTTATGCATTGACCACCCCAATGTCTAAGTTGTAGCCAAAAGCATACAACTCTAAATTGTAAATTTAATAAAACATTGTTGCAACTCATCAGAAAAAAGACTTTGACAACTATGATCAGAAACCAGGAGCTTGTGAACAAGTGGTGTAGTCAATCCCTCCTCTAAAGTCTACAAATATGTTGTTTCTATTATATAAGAATTTTAAAGGAGTTATTTTGTAATGTGTCTCTCCCTTTCTCTTTTTTTCCTTTGTAAAAGTGCTAACTCACTCCCCCCACCAATATGTTTGATCTGAAACCCTTTTACTTTTCTTTCCCTTGTCCCATTTAGGATTTGAATTCCCTCTTTCTCACAACATGAAGATCATGAGACACTTTCTCCTTCCATCCTATATCACTAGCACACCTATTTTTCTAACAATTCATTTCTCACAAAAATAAACTTCTTGAAAGTTAAAATGTCATGAAAATGAACCCCTCTAAACTAAATGCATTCCTTTGTGCATTCTTGATTCTTCCCCACCTAAGCAAAACCACTTGAAACGCAATTCAACCTCCAAAGTGGGGACCATCTAGGCATGTGAAGAAAGCAAAATCTGCTTTCCACAAGTTATCAACATCAGTGTTGCCTGAAGGTAGAGCTTTTGGATGAGCTATCACTCTTTCATTTCTTGCCTCATATGTGCAAGCACCCATTGAAGTACAGAAGTGTTACTGAAAGGGGCACAAAAAAAGGGACATTCAAACACTGGTCCAAGTGTCCAAAATCGTCTCTTTGCTTGCTGTAAGTTAAAGCATATAAGAAGGATGGCTCCACACACAACATGCTTAAACGATATATGAGAGGTTAGTTCATATTGAAGCCTCAAATATTTTACATGAGTTTACTACTTTTTGCATACTACACCAGGGGCAGCAACCAACAATGCAAGAACACGGTTCTCATTTTAGATCAAGCTTGAAGCCCTAGTACAAGAGAAACCACATTTTAGATTTCACATCCAAATTATTGAGTTGGAAAGACACCAAGGATCCCGACTGCATTGACAACAAAATCAAAGGAATTATACTCAAGAGAAGAAATAAAAAGGTTTTATCTCATTTGCTTTTATTTTATTCGAATTGTTGTGTTTCACATTTCATGTACAAAATCGGTCAATGATGTCATTTCCCAATACTTGTAACTTGTACAAATTAATAAGAGGAATTATACTCAAGAGAAGAAAGAAAAAAGTTTTATCTCATTTGCTTTTATTTTATATCAATAAAAAATACATTTTCTATTTGCATTGTTGTGTTTCACGTTTCATGCACAAAATCGGTCAACGATGTCATTTCTCAAAACTTGTAACTTGTACAAATTAATCAAATTTCTTAAAACGTACGATTTTTTTACAATGATTTGTTAAAACACAAAAAATGTACATATTTAAAAAAAGCTCAATACTATAAAATATACTCTAAGAGTTAATGCTTTATACTATAGAAGGTTCCAAGCAGTGCCAGTGTCATACAGGTATGTATCCTGTAATACACATTCAATATCTGGATGTCAAAGGGTAGAACCATGAAAGGTTGTAATCAAATGTTATCAATCAAATAAAAGCACCTTTCAATACAGTCATGACATAAAGAACATTGGACAAATAACACATGAATTTGGAATACAAAAGATAAAAAAGGCACATACCCAAATGGTTGATGATCCCTGGGAGAAGATCTTGCAATTCTGTAATAGAAAAGATCAAATTATAGCTACTGCAGCTATATAAAATAAACAGAGAATATATAATGGCTTGCCCACAAGTAAGAATGGTGGTCCCTCCTCTCACTCACAGAAGGATAAATAATAAACTTAAGCAACCATAGCCAACAGCAAGCATTATTACAACCATTTTATTGTACAAGCAGATCGTATTCTGGAATTAAGTGAGTAATAGCAAAAGACAAAATTCCCATTAAATATTTATGCATACCATTGGGAGCTAAAGAATCATCTTGCTCAATTTAGGATCCAGTGTTAGAGAACTCTAGCAAATACCTTTCCCTTACCTGTCTAAAGGAGGCTCACCCTAATCACAAGCACTTTAGCTAACCATCCAATTTAATACTTTCTTCTCTTCCCCATACTGGCCAAAGGGAGGTAAAAAGCTCAGCTTGAAAAGAGGAGCCCAAGTTTAACCTTGTTGATTGGAGTAAGGTGTGCTTTCCTAAATCTGCTGTTGGGTTGGGAACTAGGACATTCCAAGAAGTGAATCAGGCTCCAGTTGGAAAGGGAATCAAGGTAAGCTTTCCTAAAAGCTGACCTTGGAAAGGGAATCAAAAAAGTCCAAGTTCGGCTCTAGTTAAGGAGGATGGAATCCAAATTCAGACAAACAACCTTGGTTGCTCATCTTGGAAGAGTATTGAATGTTTCTGTGAAATTTGGGTACCCAGAGCGCTCTATCAGCAGATCTTTGTAACACTGATCAAATGATGCCTCCTGATTGGCAGCCACTGCAATGGAAGCTGGACGAGGTCAGCAACCTGAAACATTATGATGACAACTGACAGCATCTGGATATGGGAGCACAGTGGATGTTTCTCGATCAGGAGGCAGATTATAGAACCTAAACATTCTCATTTCCCTAGTAGAATTGAATGGAAAGCAAATGTACCATAAAAACTCGCTTTCTTGGTGTGGACAACAGCATTTGTCAAATGTCATACCAAGGATAAGCTGATAAAGAGGGGCATGGAATCTAACACAAAAGGCTGTGATTTCTGTAATGGTGAGCTTGAATCAGGTGACCATCTGCTTCTACATCATTGAGTCAGTAATAGATCCCAGTGGTGCTTTTTAAATGCTCTCAAGTTGTGTCAGTGTTATCAACACACAATATTGGAAGTTCTCTTCCATTGGCAAGTTGATTTCTTCAAGAAGGGCAGGCCTCTATGGAAAACCATTTTCACTGGTATAATTTGGTCCTTTTGGATGGACTGCAATGCAATTATCTTCCACAGATACTCCCTCAGAAAGAAGAAATGATGAGGAACAATATTAGTATTAGATGGTGGTTCTCCATGAGGGCAGAGTTTGCAGATATCCTCTTGATGACCTGGGCCTAATTTTAAGAGAGTTTTTTTTTCAATACCTATTAAGTAGTTTGCTTTTGCATAGGTCATCTAATACGACTCACTCTATAGGTGACTTTGCCTAGTGAATCTTTTGTGTAAAGCCTTTTTAAACGAATGGTACCTGATCTTCCCAATAAATATATATCACATTAACCAGACATGAATATTACAAACATAATTTTCAGGGTACGGTAAAAAAATTAAACAACCTAAAATACTAGGCTTAGCACATAAATCCAAGAATGACCACCATTCTTGTGAAGCAATTCATGACATATTTGCACATACTGAAATTCAAAAAAGACAAAACTGCATTGTTCTAAATAAAGAGAGTAGTAAAGAATACTTTTTGTCTGAGGAGAGCCACTGACAACCCAAGTGTTGGCAGCAATTGAGGCTTGAACTGAAATAGGAGAAAAGTAAGTATTAGAATGAGAAAACACATAAAGTTGGCAATGATTGATAAATGTTTTAGGGTCCTCTTCATGGTGGGTTATCACCAGTATTTTAAAAACCACAGAACTGAAAACATGCAGTGAGGCTTATATCAAGGAATGGCTCAAGAAAAACGCCTTGAGGCCCACAACTGAAAATATATAGCATATTCTTGAACATTAAGTATTACCTTTAGGGTTCAAAAACTGGATGACTATATCATCCTTAAAAATGTTGACTTCCTCGATAGCAGGGATAGCATTCACCCCTATTCTTTTCAGGGTACTTTGAAGCCTTTTGTCATCTGTGGTTGTAGTCTTATGAATCGCCTTCTTTTTTCTGTAATCAAAAGCATAATACATGGTTCATAAACACAACAGACAAGTTTGAAAACTAGATACAGGTCTACAACAGATAAACTGATAATTGCAATAACTAAAGAACAGAAACCAAGAGTTAAAAACAAAAAAGAACCAGTTTCGGTTTCCAAGACAAATAATCAAATACCATAGAGCCTTCATTAAACCAAATTCATTTCCATCAATGACAGCTGACAGACAATTGCAATAGATTTTAAAGAAGATATGTAAACCTCCAACTATGCAGCCAATTCTTGGAGGAGGTAGCTGGGGACATAGTTGTCAAGGAGTCTAGGCGATTCTGAGCACAGTGTGGCACCTAGTTGCCTAGTCAACTAGCAGGTATCTAGGCAAGCGTAAGTGATGAGAATTTAATAAGATAAAAATCCAAACCATGGCTAGTTCCCTAGTTTTAATTACCATTGAGCATGCATATTAATTGAAAAAGTACCAATTCTCCTTATTAATAAAATTAGATATCCTCTCATAACATGGCAAAGCAACTTTTTTTATCAGCAACTCAAAGAATTTTATTAAAACTTAGAGAAAAAGAGAATACAACAAGTTGTTAGGAATAGAACCCTTCACAACAAAAAGACCCACCACCCTTTTAACATTGAGGCCAAAACAAATGATGTCTATATACTCCTTGCTTAGGTAACCCATCTTGACTATATACCCCTTCTTTTTTCAACCAACCAATGACTAACATGGCAAATCATCATATCTAGGACAACAGTATTTCAAATATATTAGTTTCAATATTTTCAAAAATAATACTAATATAATAAGTATTAAATAGAGCAATTTCATATCAAATTAGCAACTAAAGAAGGCTATAATTTTATAAGATAAAAAGTAAACGAAAAAAAAAAAGAAACAAGGGTGGACCCGTTGATTTATCTAATGTAAGGCAGAGGAAGAAAACAGAACAAACAAAAACAAAGCAACTTTTTTATACTTCCCTTCTTTCTTTTTCTCTACTCAACACCCATGGTTCTTTTAAATGTATTATCAGACAAAATCAAAGCAACTTCTTTATAAATGTATTAACAGACATATCAGTAAGGTGTAGCATTATCAATAATATTATAATAAGGTGCATGCTTTGTCATTTGTCACCTAGGCCAGCGCTTTATTGCCTAGGCAAAAGCCTAGTTGCCTAGACAGGTGTGTTGTTGCCATAAGTCATGGCTTTCCGGTGAGACACCCAGCCAAAGAAACTTTGCACCACTCATTGAATTCTTCAAGGAAACTTTGCATTCAATGCCTCTATGGAAGAAACTATTTTCCCATTATAATACCGGCAGGTCAAGAAGATGAGCACATCATCAAACTGTTGTGCATACAATGGGTTGCACAACACTGTTAATAGCTGTCAGAAACATTTACATCCAAAAGTTATATAAAATGCAACCCTTAACAAGGAAGAAACAAGACTCTGAAAGTTTGTTGTTTTTAAATAGCACCATACAATCAAGTAATATGACAAGAGGCAACATTTCACAAATAGCCTGCATTAAAAGTAGGATAAGTAACCAAATTCAAGATAACCAACCCATCCATGATGTGCCTATTCATTGAAGAGCACAAATCCGTTTGTAGTTGTGCAGTATAAAATCCTAAAAGTTACTAAACTTCCACAAAAAAAGAAGTTAGCTAACCAAATTGGTTTGCTCTAGAAACTCTTGTTATGAAAGTGCAGAATCTATGCTCTGGCCACATTTTAAAAGATTACAAGGTGCATTTTAAACTCTAAGGATCATCAAACATATTTTAAAAGAATAGTAAGAAACAAAATAGTATGCAACACACCTTCGCATGCTACCCTTTCCACCGGTGCGAACTGCACCGGCCATCTTCATAAGCTTTTCGCGATTCATCTGCAAATTAACAATGTATCAGGGTGCTATAAAAACCTAATGCTATTATAACATCATAATTGTTTGCATTTTAAATAAAAACGTAACAGGACAAACAGAATCCATACACAGAAAAGGCAGATGCTCAAGGAAACCAAGAATGCAAAAACAGGTAAAAAGAACAAAAATAAGAGAAGGGCAACCAACAAGGCTAATCAAGATAAGAAATTAGTGTGCAGTTATGGACTAAAAATTTCCAAATAGGTACCACATCCCTCTGCAAGATAAGAGAAGGGCAACCAACAAGGCTAATCAAGATAAGAAATTAGTGTGCAGTTATGTTATGGACTAAAAATTTCCAAATAGGTACCACATCCCTCTGCATCATCTAAGTTCCGTAACCTTTTTTTATCAGCAAATAAATTTACTAATTAATGTCTGATATAAATATATGGTTTTAGCTAAATTTACTAAATAATGCCTGAGATAAATGCATGGTTTTAGCTACACAATAGACCAAAAAAACCATCAGAAAAGCAGCTTGCCCACACTATTTGGGTTTGTCATCCCCTTTTTTTGCTATTACAGATTACAATATTGCCCAACATAATATGGATATATCTGCTCCTTGTTTGACTTTCTTTGCCCAAGAAATGGCCAACAAAGAGTCTCCCTCTACTTCTGTATTGCTAGTTTTACTCCTTGTAAGAGAGCCATTATTTCATCCTTAACCGAGTCTCCAAATCCAACTGGCCCCAAGAATGAGGCCAGTACTGCTCCTTGATGGTTTCTGAAGACTCCCCTATACCTGACCTCCCCTGATTCCCAAAAGATGTGCCATCAAAATTTAGTTTCAGCTTATTTGGCCCAGGAGGTTTCCATTCCATTCTCATTGCTTCTTTGTATGTATCTGTTTGTACCACTTCAGCCCATTTCCATAATAAGTCATTTGTAGAGACATCTCTGCAGATTTCCATTATTGTTGCCCCATGTGCAGATCTAACCTTTATGGTTTCAATCAATGTTCAGAGAACCAGACCAGGCATAGAACCAGAGAAGGGAGAGGTTCACAGGTAAGAGGTTCAACCGGGCTCAAACCAGAGGTCAAACCGTGATGACATGGCATATATGTAATTATGTATATATGCTATGGGTTATATAAATACTATATATAATATATTTTACAACTTTTAATATACTTAAATATAGGAGTGGGCAAGAAAAACCGAAAAAACAAACCGACCGGAACCGAATCGAAAATTTGGTTAACCAAACTGGTCGGTTCAGTTTCAGTTCGATATTTTAAAAAAACCAAAGATACCAGTTCGGTTTCGGTTAACCAAAATAGAAAACCAGCAATTAACCGAACCGACCAGTATACATACATACATATATATATATATATATATATATATATATATATATATATATGTATATTATAGATATTTTATATTTTCTATACTATCAATTAATAAATATGAATTATATATAAAGATATATTTATAATATATAATATATTATTTATTATTTAAAATATAATATTTTATATATATAATTCTAGTGTTTTATTATATATTTATATATTTTTTATAATATATATTGAAAAAATAAAAAAAACCAATGAACTGAACCGGTCAACCAGTTAACCGATTGGCTTTGGTTTGGTTTCAATTACCGGTTTTTCAAAAACTGGTAACCTCGATTCGGTTTCAACAACAAGCCCACAGTTCAATTAACCAAACCGTGAGCACCCCTACTTAAATATGGTGGATGCATGGCAAATTCCTTATTTTTTAAAGCAAATGAGTTCAAGTCTCATAATTTACATTTTCTTTAAAATACGTGTCTAATAAAGTAATTGATACAATAAAGAGTCATTAAATAGCACAAGTAAAGATGTGGACTAGTGCTAACTAAGCAATATATGAAAATAAGAGGTCATGAGTTCAATTCTTCTCAAACTCATTTTAAAATTTCAAGTATTTAATGGCTCGGGCGGTTTCATGAAACTGGCAACAGTTCACTGGTTTTTTAGTTAAATTGACCGATCAGCCAAATTTCCCCAAGTCACGATTTAATTGATCCAACTAGCCAATCTGGTCTAGTTTTCTAAACATTGGCTTCAACCACTTACTCAGATTTAGTCCTCCTGGAAAATCTTCATTCTTCCCAAGTAATCCATACTAGGACTGCTCTTGTTGTTCTCCACAAGCATCTTCCTCTTTTCTTCTATTGCCTCAAGAAACTAGACTTGAACAAACTAACCGCATCTTGTGGGGGAACTCATCTACAACCAAAGAGAGGCTAGAAGTAATCCCAAATATGAGTCACAAAAGAACAAGAGATTAGTAAATGAGGAAGGGTCTTACCACTAGACTTACAAAGGAAACACACATGAGGAGAAAGACAATTGTTTCACCTTCTTTTCAATAGCATGTCATAGGTGTGAATCTTTCCAAGGAATATTTCTCAACAAAGAGACTAGACTTTAGGAGGAATTGGTTTGCACTGAATTCCTCTCTATGGGAAATTCACCTCAAAGATTTTGAATTGATGAAAAGGTTAAAGAAGGAAGAGCAAGAGAAGAGGCCATCAGGTGAGGGGCACCAAACTCTACCATCCAAGAGATTTTGATACAAAAAGACCTTTTCCAAAAGCGAGAGTAGGAATGATAAGTGATTGACACTCAATATCTCTCAAACCCCTTCTAAACCCAAAGACCCAATTTAAGCCATGTTCTTAGGGTAAGCCACATCTAGAAGCAATGCTTTAAAAGCACAAGGCGCAAAAAAGGCGTAGGGGCCAATTTGTGCCCGAGGCACAAGGCACAAGGTGAGGTGCACGCCATTTTGAAGCAAGGTCCAAAAATACAAAAGAAAAGCTAATAGATAAAAAAAAATCAGAAATTTCAAAAAAAAAGCCAAATTTTCAAAAAGAATAATAAAATATTAATATAATATTAATAAAAAATATAAACTTAAATTTTAAAATAAACATTTTAAAAACCTATTATCTAAAATTAAAATACATAAACATAACATGTAAATAATGATTTTATAATTTTTATTACCTTTTAAGAAGATATTTTATTAAGATGAATGAATGAGCAACATTAGCAAATAGGGGGCTTTTAAATCACTGTTTAAAAGCAGGTTCATTCTTAAGGCTGCGTTTTTTGCGGTGTAAAACCTGGTTCGGTGTAGTTTTACACTCTAGATCACTTTTGTACACGTTTGGTTGGGATGTAAACTAATAACGGTTATCGATGTAAATGACCATTTTAACATACTTTTACATCGAGAATCAATGTGAAAATTACATCGAAAAAATCGATGTAAAAATCTATCGAGCTTTCCATCAATATAAAACTAATGTCTCTCTTCCTCCGAGAAACTACTCCATCAACGTTGTACTTCTTCCCTCCCTCCCTCCTCCCTCTCTCTCTACTGCTAGTCCTTTCATGTAATACTCAAGCTTGTCTACCACACTCTCCGGAATAGACACCAAAACCCTCACATTGTTTATGTTGCCAATAATCAGCAAAAACAGGCAATATATTTCACTTGCAAGAGGACCCATGTGTAGTGGCTTCCCTTCTCTAAAGTCCAACTCTTCTAACCCTAATCTAGACCACTGAGAGATGACCAAACTCGTCGAAAGGTTGGGCTTCGACCACCATTCCTCCAACAGATCCACCATTGGCCTTATGTAGTCGTCGACCAAAGATGCTTTCGCCTCCTACACCAGTCCACCCCATTGTTCACTCCAAATGCATATAAAATATCCACCGATGTTTTACATAGTTCTTCCAAACGTAGAAGAGTGTAAAAGGTGCATTTGGCCTATTCGCCTTTTACGCTGACACATCTAACCATTCTAAATTTACATCGATCGACTTTTGTATTTACATCACTTCCAAACACAGCCTAAGGTTTGTTAATGAATAAAGTATAGGGAATTGCACTTTGAGTGGCAAATCCCCAAGCCAAAGGTCTTCCCAAAATAAGGCTCTATTCCCACAACCCACACCAAAACAGATAAAGTTGAGAAAGGTAGGCAATACAATACCTCAGAGACTGCTTTCCAAGGGGAATTTGAAGCAATGTAAGACGCAAGTTTTGTATTCCAGCCATTGTCCGCTACACCATGAATGCTTCCAATGACCTTGTGCCATAGTCTATCTCCCTCTAAGGGAAATATCCAAAGCCACATTCCTAGAAGAGTTGCTTTCCTTTTAATCAAATACCTAATACCCAAACTCCTTGCTCCTAAGATTTACACACGGGTTCCCACTTCACTAAATCATCTTTCTTTTCCTCACCTGGCTCCAACAAAAAATCCCTCATCATTTTTTCTAGCTGCTTAGCTTTTTTATTGGGAATTTAAAGGTGGATAGGTAATAAGTGGGCAAATATATTTAAAATACTATTGCATTTTTAAGATATGACGATTTGCCATGTTTTTAGAAGAAACTTAACGATTTTATAAACAGAATTGCTATTTTCAATTAATATGCATGCTCATTGGCATACAAAACTAGGGAACTAACCAAAATTTAGTTTCTCATTTAATAAAATTTTTATCACCTATGCAACTAACCACCCATTGTCTCCAAAAGTCATCTATACACCTTGAAAACTCTGATAAAAATACAACCTAGCAGACCTAATCTTTTATAGACATTAAACCTAATAACTTATAGCAAAGTTGTCAAGTTGTTGGCCGGATACCTCACCTTAATGCCTTGATTTACAGCAACTACGCACCTACCTAGGCAACTAGACATCCAACATGCACCTGAAAGGTCTAACAAAACCCAATAACCCTAAGCACAGATTAAACCAGAACAAGAGGCAGACTCATCTTACATAGAAGGCAGAAAAATATTAATTGTTGGTGCATGGGAAGAATCAACAAAATCCAACTAGCAGACACAAAAGAATCAAGCTAAAACAAAGGCCCAATAATAAAACACCATTTTGATGGTTTCATACAATAACTTAACCTGATCTCTAATCTTTCACAAAACCCCAATGCCAGAGTGCCAAGGAGACCTGCCCACCCTACATCAGAAATTTGGACATCTTAAAGGTAGTTTCTATGGCAAGCTTTTGACATGTGCTCCCTAAGTGAACCATTAAGTCTGGTGGATCAAATGATAGTGATTCAACCATTCAGTACGACAATTTGAAACCATGTAATTGTACACATTACAGGAAGATTTTACAAAGATGGTTGTTAGTTTTTTGTTTTGGCCACAGGGTACAAATGCTTGGGAAACAAAAAAGACAAACTAAAAATAAGCAACCACAACACACAAACAGAAGCCTCAAAACAAAAAACGAGAATGAATGGTGTTTTGGAAGGGGAATGGAAACTATAGCATAAGCACAGTTACTGTAAACGTATACCAGGCTCGGTAGTTAAATAGCAATGACAAAGGCATGTAAGTTCTAAATGACAAAGTACCCATATTCTTTTCAAGTAAATTTAACCAAAAGTTGATTCTTCAATCTTACAAAATGACAAAGAAAGATCAATTAAGGACCTGTTTGGTTCAAGGGAATAGAGGTCTGGAATCCGATTCAAACTGTTTGGTTGTGTTTGGTTGAGCGGAATCGAAACTCATTCCCGTTGTATTTGAGGGAATGGCCATTCCCTCCCCTCCCTTGGAAATAAAATCCCATTCTAGTTTATTCCAATTCCCATTTCGATTCCTATCTGAACCAAACAGAACCATTCCGATTCTGATTCCAACTGCGAACCAAACGGACCATAAATATTGACAAATACAAGAAAACGAACATCGAAGGGATAAAATAATTTGCTCACGTACACAGGGAGGTTAAATCAAAAGGTTCGCCGGCTAAACTTGAAACCAAGTTAGTCATTTAAACACACAGATACACATGGTAATGCTTGATATATATCAAGCAAAACTGAAGAATGCAGCGGCATGCAATGTCTATTAGAAAAAGCTCCAACAGCTATAAACCCTAACCGACCTGCAAATTTTCCTCAATTATTTACATCCGAAGGAATACTCCAAACAATCAAGCAAGATCAAGCTATATTATCAGCTTAAACATGAGTTCCAATAACAACGACAAATCAGAAATCTGATATCACCGAAACGAACAAGAGAAGTCTTCAAGAAAGAAAAACTGAAGCACTAATTTTGAAGGACTCAGAGTAGAGCTTAACCTGAACTGTGCTTTTCAAAATTTGCTCGATGCAAAACCATGAAAAACCCTGGTCCGGCAATGACAAGGGCACCCCGCCCCTTATCTGAAAATTGAACCGCTCAAACCCTAGCCTCTCTTTATTTTCCTACTATACCCATACAAGAGGACCATGAACCGGTGCCGAAGAGGCGAGCATAAGCTGGTTTGACATTTGAGGCATAAGACACAAAGTATAAAATTTATAATTTTTTAATTTTATGTATATTAATGTAATGTTTGTGTTATCGGTCAAATTTCTTAAACTACTTTTATGCGTTTAGCTAATTGATTAAATTCTATCTTTGTTTTTTTTTTATTTTTGCAGCGGGATTTAATTCTATTTTGTTGTTTATATATTGATTAACTTTATCTTTATTGTTTAGTATTGTCTTAAAGTATCTTTTAGAAGTGTCAATTAGACGGATTGATCCAATCCAATCCAGTCCAATGTGAGTTCACTTATAAATGGATTAGACCCAATCCAGTCCAAATCTAATTCAATCCATTAAAATGTAAATAAATTGGATTGGGTTCAACCGAAACTGAATAAAATATAAAAAATTATATAAAATCATTTTTAGCATTGAAAAAGCACTTTTGTAAAAGTATTTTGATAAAAATATTTTTCACAATTGAAAGTACTTTGAAAAAATGCTTTTGTAAAAGTACTTTCGTAAAACTACTTTTATAAAAGTACTTCCGTATAAGTGTTTTTATAAAAGTACTTTCATAAAAGTACTTTTGTAAAAGTGCTTTCATAAAAGTTCTTCCGTAAAAGTTTTTTTTTTTGTAAAAGTGATTTCATAAAAGTGCTTTCATGTAAAAGTAAAAAGTGCTTTTACAAAACTTCTATAAAAGTGCTTTCATAAAAATATTTTTCACAAAAGTACTTTTATAAAAATATTTTCACAAAAGTGCTTTCGTAAAAGTACTTTCATAAAAGCGATTTTATGTTGTTTTCAGTTTTGATTGATTTCAAATTGGACAAGGGTTTGGTCTCATGATCGGATTATTGAAAAATTGGTTTAAGTCAATTCAAACCAATAAAAATATGGACCAATTTATTTTGGGTTGGTACTATCCAATAATTATAATGGACCGTCCAAATCCAATTTGATAAAGTTTGGATCAGATTGGATCCAAACCAAAACCGGTCAATTGACACCCCTAGCTTTAAGTTTTCTAACAATTGTCTAAAACTTCTCTTACTATTAACTTTTGTTACATATGACATCACGTGATTGATAAAAATTTTGAAAGTTCCTAAAATACCCTTTTTGACAAATTGTCAAAGTCCTCGCTTTCCCTACTTCTCCCCCAAGGTTATTCTTCGTGGGAAAGTATGACAATGCTTCCGTCGTCACTATAGCTACCATCAGCGATTGTGATGCCTTTCCCAATCCCAAACTTGAGAGCATGGTTTTTAAAAAGAACTAGTGACCGAACCGATCAGGGGTCCGGTTATCGGTTCGAATAGTCCGACTGTTCGACCTGAACGGCTGGCCCGTTCTGACAAAAAAAATAAAAAAAAAGATTTAAAAATTGGAAAACGATCAATACGGTTAACCGGCCGGTTCAGCGGTTTGCTGACCAAAATCAACGATTTTGGAGAAAAACGGAACCAGTCAAGTGACAGGTTCCCGATTTTTCTGGTCCGGTTCGGTTTTGAAAACAGTGCTTGAGAGAACAGTGGAAGCAATATAAACTCTTATGAAGTTGGATCGACTCTAGCCATTCAAACACAGTGCATTTTTTCAGCCACAAGAGTCTCATCGATTCCAACCAACCTCTTATGTGGCCGAACAAAGAATAAAAGATTAGGGAAATTTGTAGGTCCGCAATGTCAATAGTTTTTGGCAACCTCATCTCTGCAATTTTCACTTTTTTTTTTTGCATTGGTGGGTTTTATGTCAAGAGCCATGACAGGAGCTTTGATATGCAAAGAAACAGAGAGCGGTGGTGGGGAAGACGAGTTGAACGAGTTAAGTTGGGGATCGATGGTGGGTTACCGTGTCTTGCTGCAATTGAGGGTGAATAAAAGGACCAAAGACTGTAATGGCACTCAAACTTTCAATATGTTCATGCTCTCTTTCTTGTCATCAAAGTGAACAAGATAAAACAAACTAATGGAAGTAAGGTTACAAGAGAATGGAGAAAATTGATTATTGAGCATACTTACTGGCCAAGGGAACAGGGATTAGATACGAAATATGATGAGACTAATATGGTTCAAACACTGAGAAGAAGTGCCTATAGGCCAATTTGATGAATGGCTTTATGGAGGTATGGTTGACTTTCTTAGCCCATTTATCTATATACGCTTATGTCTTAAAATAGCCTGTTATGATTTTAGGAATTATTCAAATATATTTCTAAGGAGATATATAAATATCTACAGGCACATGGAAATTGATTCCAATTTCAAGAAATAAAAAAACCAACTTGGAATTAAAACTGAAAGGTCTAAGAACAAGAGGAAATCTCCTGCCATGATTGATTATGATATATTGCTACTCTAATCAGGTGATGTTAGTGATTGCTACTAATAAAAGAATGTTAAATGTTGTTGGTATTGATAGAGGATATAAATTTTATGGGTTAAAAAATAATTTTTGTAGAGGCATCATCCATCTACATGTTATATCTTTTAGTGATTAAATATGTTGCACCTAATTGAAGCTCTCTTGTGTGTTCAGATGTAGGTTTCTAGTTGGAGTTGGGATCTCCTACCCATGCCTCACTACAATTGTACATTGAGAACATCTCCCATATTTGCATGCTGCCATTCATGGGGAGATGTTCCTATTGTACAGCTGTAGTGTCAAGTGGGTAGAATTATTGTGGGTAGGAGATCTGAATTCTCTGGTTTGTTCCACTCTTAAAAGCTTCATTATGCCATTTTTATTTAGGTCTTAACATGGCTAAAATGTTAAATAAAGCATCCCCAGTCCAAGTATGTATATCTTTCTAGCCTTAAGGCCTCATAAAATTTGTCTCTCATATTTATTATTATTGTAGAATGTTGATGATAAATTGATTGTTCATGCTAATTCTTTGTAACATGTTTTCAATTAGTCCTTTCTAACTAAATTATGGAGTCAAGAGCACAGAACTAAATCCTTCAGAGTTAATATTGCACTTTTCAAGGGAATTGTTATTGCTCTAAACAATGTTGTCATATGAGGAGGCTGCCAACTATCTCTCCATAATTGAACTGAGTTTGTTGATAACCAGCAAAATCCCAAATGTCATCACTGCTCTTAACTTGTCCACAATTGAATTGAATTTTCTGATTTTATTTATGATTGTGAACCCATAACATAAACCTCAATTGTTGGGTATTTAGGAAGAATTACACTGTGAGCTTGCATTCAATGATTTTCCAGGCATTTCTGGAATTGACGGCATAAGAGGATGGAAAGACAGAAGAGAAACCAATACCTCTGACTGGAAAAATAAAGCAGTCCCCAAATACTATTGGTGCTAAGAGAACAAACCCATAATACAACCCAAAGACTATACACTAGGAGCATGCACCATGTCCCAATATAATTCTCTCCCCTATACAATTCCCCTCATCTCGTTTTCTGATCTTCCAATAAAGTGAAGTGAAATATTTATGATTAGAGATGTTTTCTTTTGTGTTATTTTTTTTAATCTTCAGGAATTATAAAACAATGATGAAGAAGTAGGGCCTTGTGTATTTGAGTTTCAGCTTTTGTTTTTTTCATCCTAGTCCTTTAATTAAGATTAATTTGACCCAATTACAACCCTAATTAGTCCTACTGGGTAATTAATGTTGTTTTGTATATAATATATTTCTGATTTTTAGACAAACTAGCATTTTAATATTCTGTGTACATTGTTTTCTTAGTTGCCTGGTTCTTCTGTTAAATTTTTTCTTGCGCACGTACCGGGTATTTTTACCTGTGGACACTTTTAGGTTTCAGCAGAAGATGCTCCAAAAATGAATAGAAAGAAACCATCAAGATATGCATAAATATCCATAGCCCATGTTCAAGTGTTGAATTCTAAACAAACACATGCACTAACAGATCCATCACAATTTTTGCTTTCCCTCTCATGCCTTCTACCTGTCCTCTATTTCTTTTGTTTCCCAAGCTCGAAAACTCAACTGAATTTGTCCCTTGATTTCACCTTGTATGGGTATGGACTCTGATATCCTATAAGAAAGAATGCAGTACAAGTTAGAATGTTGGATAGAAGAGACATGGTGTGCAACTGTGCATCCTTCAACTGGAGGCAAAGATTTAGTGAGAGATGGAAGCCTTTAATCCACTTGGGTTTCTGTTATTGGCACCAATGCAAGGCCTAAAGAAGATAGATTCAAAACATCAAAATGTTTTTCATGAAAAATCTGTTATACAAGAAGGTCAACATTGTTCTTGTAGTTCACTCTAACTCTTGAATTGCCGAGTTAAGAACACATTGATGATCTACTAGATAGTTAAATACTTGGATGAATTATTCATAGATAGCCTAATAACTTCTAATAGGCTTTCATGCAACCCAGCTTACCATTAATTAGGAAGACTTTTCTATGCTATAGGTAATTTCCAAGTATTATATAGGAAGATGGGCTGCTACACACCGCCTGCAAAACCCCAAAGTATGTTTCTCTTGAGGTACTTATATATGTCTTGTATGGTGGTTAAAATGATCCGTTGCAATGCTGAATTTGTGTACCCATTGGATTCCTTTTGTTTGATACTTGTTACAGGTGCTTATGGATAAATGTATGTTATGATGGTACAACAGCCGATATATGGTTATGTGGTGTCATTCTTTTTCTTATTATGGCTGGTTACTTGCCTTTTGATGAGTCAAACCTTATAGCTTTGTATGAAAAGGTAAAAATTTCAGTGGTTTCTTTTTTTTTTTTTTTTCTTTTAATAGTTTCATACTGTTAGTTAATCTCATTATTGAAAAAACTTATCAGTTTTTCTTGGGTTCTACATATTTCTGAAATAAGAACATAGGTAAGTTGGTCAATGAGAACCACAATCCCATTAACCGATTTTTCCCCTTTAAAATCCCCAAAACAAATGGGGGCCTAAATCTTTGTTCTCTAGAAAATCTTTCGGGTTTGCTAGGTGCCAAGAGGTGGAAATGAAGCTGCCCATACTACTGCAAAAGA